GGACACCTTTATGTCTGAACATGGTGTTCATTATGGACAATCCTTGACTGGCACAGAAGTCCAATAACAAAACACCACTCAAATTCAGATCAGGGGGCCGTTCCTCCCAACCACACCTCTCCAGGTCTCACTGTTGTCGCCCATGTGCGTGTTAAAGTCCCCCAGCAGAACGAGGGAGTCATCGGAAGGAGCGGTCTCCAGCACCCCCCTCCAAGGTCTCCAAAAAGGGTGGGTAGTCTGAACTGTAATTTGGTGCATAAGCACAGACCACAGTCAGAATCCGTCTCCCACATCTAGGCGGAGGGGGCTACCCTCTCATTAACTGGGGTAAACCCCAACATACAGGCACCAAGATGGGGGGATACTAGTATGCCCACCCCTGCTCGGCGCCTCTCAGTGGGAGCAACTCCAGAGTGGTAGAAAGTCCAACCCCTCTCAAGGAAACTGGTTCCAGAGCCAGAACCACGCGTTGAGGTGAGTCCAACTATATCTAGTCGGAACCTCTCAACCTCACACACCAACTCAGGCTCCTTCCCCACCAGAGAGGTGACATTCCATGTGCCAAGAGCCAGCTTCTGTAGCCGAGGATCAGACCACCAAGGTCCCCGCCCTCGACTACCACCCGTCACACACTGCACCTGACCCCTTTGGCCCCTCCCACGAGTGGTGAGCCCATGGGAAGGGGGACCCACGTTTCCTCTTTCGGCTGTGCCCAGCCGGGCTCCATGGGTGAAAGGCCGGCCACCAGGCGCTTGCCAACGTGCCCCACCTCCAGGCCTGGCTCCAGAGGGGGGCCCCGGTGACCCACGTCCAGGCGAGGGAACACGATTTCCATTTAAATAATTCATCATAAGAGGTCTTCGGGCTGCTCTTTGTCTGATCCCTCACCTAGGACTTGTTTGCCATGGATGACCCTACCAGAGGCATAAAGCCTTAGACAACGTAGCTCCTAGGATCATTGAGACACTCAAACCCCTCCACCATGGTATATTCTTACTTCCTGTACTTGCTTATCCCTTATTTTTATCTTTCTTTGTGAACCAAGTACTGCAGCAATTTCCTAATGTGATCTCTTGCACATTAGGCAATAAAACCCTTCTGATTCCGATTCTAAAAATCAGGTCTAAAATGCACAGGGCATGGGTCTAGCGACTTTGGGGGGTGCCATATTAACACTAGAACTCCCAGAGAGTTGCCATTTGGCACCGTTGTTTTCAGCTAGCATTCTTAATCACTTGTGAACGTTCGCCTTTGTTCTGTAAATCACTTCAGGAGATGCTGGTGCTCCCCTCACATCCCCCTCTTGCCTGTTTTTTTCTAGCAGTCAGGTAAAGAGGCAGCCAGAGAAAAACCAGAGACACAAGACTACTCAACAAGCGTGTCTTCAGTCAGAGGCTACATGCAGGATATAAGGACAGAGCATACAGGCATCTGTAAAACGTGATTTTGTTTGATTACTATGTTTGCAGCTTTATAGCTTATGTTGAATTCACAGCTTGTGTGCTTATCTGAAGTCTTCACAGAGTCAGTCATAAATTAGTTTGGGTGGGTAAGTTCAGTTGACCATATTCAACAGAAGCCCTTTTCACAAAATGCTCGGGCAACCCAAGAAAGCATTATGGTTTTATTAGAACAATAAACCTTCAAATGCACAAGTCTTTTGTGAATGTTTTGTATTGCAACTCAAACAATTTTGGAGGAATAATGAAGGTTAACTGCAATGAAGGCTTCGGTTGTCCAGGTTCCAAAAAAGGTTCATAACAGCTGTGATGAAGCTGCTTTTCAGGTGTTGAAAACAAGCCAGACTCTTGAAAAGGCTTCAGGTGATCAGCTAAATCTGTAGAATTTATTTTTCAGGTTACCCGGGATCGCTGGAGATAGGCACCATGTTTACGTGGTTTATATACTCTTTCCGGTCGGGGGTCGCCGCACATTTGCTACGTCATTTGACATCTTCCTCTGTTGTGCCAAGGCACAATCACTGTTTATAGAGCAGACAATTACCACAATATTACTACCAAGTGAGGCGCAACAAATGCAGCAAAATTCGCACAACGCTATGCCAGCATGGCGTGTTTATAAAACATACTGTTGCAGTAATGTTACGCTGATTTGCCGGCACAGTGTGTCTTGTAAAAAGGGCTTGTGAGTCATTTTCTACCAGGGCTAAAAGGGCTAAAGAGGCAAACAAAATGAGGCCAACCTAAATGACTGAGAATTTTCAAGGTACCCAACGTTCCTCCACATTCCAATGGGCCATTGACTACGTTTACATGCAGCCAATATCCGGGTTATGATCGGGTTAAGGTCGGTATTCGGGTTTCTGAGTTGATCAGAATAACCCGTTTACAAGCATAAATAGATAGAGTTACCCCTAACTTGCATAACCCGATGTAAATGCGGACGTTGGGGTAGCGTCAGGACGTGTGGACTACGTCCAGACGCAATATGCATCATTTCCGGTTCTTCTTGTTCCGGTATCCGTGAAAACAACAACATGTTTCCCAGTTCGGAGGAGATAGCGACCGTGTTTGTTTGCGCTTTAGTTTCCTCGTCACTCCAAAAGTGTGGTGCTGTGCTGCGACTCGCCATGTTGCTCCCAACTTGTTGTTTACTTCCGGTGTTCTGGCGCATACAAGACGTCTCGCTACTCAAAAGACCAAGATTCCTTGCGAACAGAGCATGCGCAGAACACACGCTTTGATGGGGATATCCCGATATGCGTTTACACGACCAAACATTCGGGTTAGAAAAGGGTTACCCCAGGTGTAGTAACCGGGTTTTTAAAAACCAGGTTATGAGCATATCCGGGTTTTTGGCGGTGTTTACATGGACCTGCGGAACCGGGTTATTGTGAATATTCGGGTTTTAAAAGGGTTACTGGCTGCATGTAAACGCACTCAGTGTCTGTGCTCTGCACAGATAATGGCTACATTTACTAATGAAAGGCAGCTAATTGTCAGTGACTGAGTTGTGATTTTCAAACCAAGGAGCCATTTGGCTACCTCTGGTAGAGCTGAGGGGGTCAGAAAATCCTGGTAGTTCTAGTGTTAAATGCCATCTTTCCTTCATGCCGGCTCGAGGTCTTGTGCCTGTCGATGAGCTGGATATACAACTTCACTACGTTACCACGATAAAAACATTTAGTACATTCAGTAAGAAACAGGAATCTAATAACAAAACTGATAAGCTGTTAAAACCTAACAGAATCAAAAAAGAGATGCAACATATATTGGCTGAGTGGTGTTGGTAGTATGATGATGTCATTGGCAGGCGCAGGACCCCAAGCAGATCCGGAAACTAGCGCCTGAGAACTAGCATCAGCACTGCATTCTCTCGATGAAAATAACCGAAGGACCAGTAAAGTCTGAGGAGTCACACCAAGGTCATGTGCTTTCTGCTCCTCAGGTAACAACATTTACCGAAATGTCTTTTTTAAACTAGCGACAATCACGGTGATACAGTGTAAAACTATCCTGAAATGTATGTATGTACTGCCAGGAAACTACACACTGCCACTTTAAAAACGACTCTTCAATTCCAATTTTGAACATGACACTTCTGCTAAGATACGCTCTGAGGTGGAAACTGCCCAACAACTTGGAACATGGAGTTATCAACAAGGATGCAACTTCAGACACAACGCCATCTTGTTTTAACTTAAAAAAGTGACCTTAGGCTGAAAATGTGATTGTTATCGAGTATTTAATGTGTTGTATTGTTGATTAATGAGAAATTGTGCAGCATAGAAAAACAATGCGTGAAACGACGCATACATTTCTAGATTTTGATGTATATTTTTCAAATATACTAAAATGTTGGTAAAAGAAGATTGATTGCAAAATAATACATATTTTTATTAATATTAGACATGTGTGACATCGCCAACCACAATAGCTGACAACTCAATGGAAAAATCATCAACTTACAATGTGATTTTTTAAACATAAAATAAATCAAATGCCCATTATAATGGGCTTATGTAAAGTCTAAGTATTTGTGACCTCTGAACTGTGAAGTCCGACTGAGCCAAAGAGCTCCAAAGGGTGCTGAATTTTCTCGTTTCTATATCTTGTTGCCTTGTAGGTTTTTGTGTGTTTGGACCATGTTGTTTGGTGTACTGCCATTAAAAGTCATAGCACACTGTTCCCAATGAAACCGCATGAATGGACGTATGATTGCCATGCTTTCGTTTGGACACTCTGTTTAGAGCTGCGTGGCACAAAAGCAAACTTAAATTGTGAAAGAAAAAGAAAACCCAAAGCACTATTTGGTTCATCTTTCTAAAATGCTAACACACACACACACACACACACACACACACACACACACACACACACACACACACATTCTCCCATTTAACACACACACACACACACACACACACACATTCTCCCATTTAACACACACACACACACACACACACACACACACACACACACACACACACACACACACACACACACACACACACACACACACACACACACACACACACACACACACACACACACACATTCTCCCATTTATTTTGAGAAGTAACATCTCCATCCTGGTGAAATATACCACCCGTATCCGAATTGTCTTCAGCACAGCCCCCTGTACCCCCTGTACCCTGCTGCACAGATGCCATGATAGAGAGACACACACTGACGCTGATGTTGCTACTACCCCGGTTTGCAGCAGAATACAAATTGTGCCCTCTGTTGGTCTTCTAACAGAGTACACCAGCAGTCAACATGTGCAGCTTCTCCTCATCGGACAGTTTACCTCTCACACGTAGATTGTTGACTTTTACAGCCGCTTATTCTCGTGTTTGGTAAAAAAAAAAAAAAAAAAAAAAAAAAAAAGGTTATTAAAGCTGATGCAAGCTGTGAGAGCATCCGCAGCAGCAAGCCAGTGGCAGAAGGGCTGCAGTTGTCATGGAAACGCCGGAGGAGGAGGAGGAACATTTTGGAGGGGGACCCGTTTGTTTTGTTATTGAAGGTCACGTGGCAATCCGAAGCTCCGCCCCTTCCCCCGTTACCACGGATTCAACCGTCTCGAGCTCCTGCTCCGGTCAGTTACTACAAAATGGCTGCAGAGGCTCCTCCGCCTGCGAGAACCGACTAAACGCTTCATGGTAGGATTTATTTGTCACTCTGGGCGGTAAAACGAGGAGAAAATAGCACGAATTTAGCCTTTAGCTTTGCGCTCAATGTGCATATCTGTGTCGGCTGGTAGGTCGTGAATATTTTCAGTTCACCCCTCTCTTGACACCAGTGTTGTTTTGGCCTCGGGAGCTCGGCTTGAACGAAGTTTTCGGTGTTTTATGGCTTCCGCGAACAGCTGTCGAGTTTAGGAGGCTGTTTGTGTTTGTAGGCGGCCGGAGCAGCGCTGCTGCTGCTGGGACTCAAGGGCGCCTGGAGTCGCTGCTGCTGGTCTGTTTCTTGTTGGCAGATTGGTGGGACGCTGCCGCTGCTCCACCGCTGCTGCTGGAGACTTGACATGGAGATGATTATTGCCGCTCATGTGCACACATTGTGCTGGAGCAGGATGCACCACTACCTGGCTGTTTAAATCCCCCCCAGTCTCTGCCACTGGGAGCGTTTGCCTCACGCTTTTCTGCGCTCTAGTCAACAGCACCTGTCACGTTTGAAACTCCGTGCACGTGCTTTAAATCTCATATTTCTGCTCGGATTTATTCCTGGAGAAGACAGTGTTGAAAATCTGGCTTGTCAGTTCTTTGTTTGCAGCATGTCAGCATTTAGAGACCTGTGTAATCTCTGAGATCCGATGCCTCCATCCTCTTCATCGCAGCATGTTCTGCAGTTTGGCATCAGGCTCACGCGCGCCCGTGCGTTTGTGTGTGTGCGCGTGTGCAGACTGGGAATGCCTGCGCCCTGATGCATGCAGAGGGGCAGACTGACGTAAGCTTTGATTCCTGCCGGGGTCACTAATGTGTTGGTGTTCCTAATTTTGTCCTGGAGGTGGTGGCGGTTATGAGAAGGGGTCATCAAGGTTTTTTTCATGGCCGAGTCGGGTCAAGGGGGGAGCCCTAGTGAGCACCCACGGCCCTGAAAGAGGCAGTTTCTATTCAGAGAGAGGCACCAAAGGGGGTTGATAACAAAACCAGACCGCTAAATGCTGTGATTATAATACAGCTTAGGTCATAGCTTCACTTTCAGCTCAGAACCCTCCATGAACTTTTGCTTAAAGTTGGACTGAAAGGCTAGAGGGCGTTACTTTTGTAAATTCTTTAAACTCAAATGAAATAAAAGTTCACTTAAAGGAGCAATGTGTACGAATTATACTGTACAATAATCACAAAACAGTATAATCTCTCAATCGCGCTGGAAGGAAGGCTATACTGAAACAGATTTATTTCTCAGTGGGCTCGGGGGGTATTCAGGTTTTCTCCTTTTGAATAAAATGAAGCGGGATGTAGTTAATGTTTACAATCAGTGAGTTTGTGAGGTTTATTTGTCTCCGGCAAGCTAAAGCTCCAGTTCTGGCATTTGTAATTTGACACCGGCCGACAAAAAGCTCCAGAGTTGTTTAAAGAACCGAAGCCGGTAAACAGGAGTGACCCAGAAGTTATTTCTTATACCCCTAAGAAGCCACGGCATCTTTTTGTTTTTCTCTATCTGTGAAGCAGGCTAGAGGCTAACATTAAGCTACCAAGGCTAACAGTGAATTACGGCAAATAGTCAGTTCTAAAAATATCTCAAACTTCTTTTTTAATCACCAAAACCTCAATATTACAGTGAAATGTATGAGTGAAGTGAATAATGAGTCAGTCGTTACTTCCTTTAATGTTCGTAACTTGTTTTCGTACAAGTTTAAATTGTACATTTTGTCTTGTATATTTGTGTGATGTTTGCTGCAGGACTCCCTTGAAAAAGAAGTTTTAAATCTCAGTGGGACTTTTTTCCTGGGTAAATAAAGGTTAAATAAAAAAATAAAAATAAAAACAAGATGCCAAATGACCACAATTCCTCTAATGCTGGAGAAACATTACTTTAATAAGTGTAGTAAATGCTCCATGCTATGGCTGGGATGATAATCAATAAATCAATTAATCATACGATAGATGAAAATTAACTGAATAATTTTCCCAGCCTCAATATATCGAGGTAAAAAAATGTACAACTCTATTATTATTATTATTATTATTTTTAAAATCATTATTATTATTTATTATCATTGAAGTGCAGTTTGGTTGTTTTGGAGAGACGGGGTCTATTTTATTGTTTTTTTGCACAATACAGGTGCTGGCCAGTAAATTAGAATATCATCAAAAGGTTGAAAATATTTCAGTAATTCCATTCAAAACGTGAAACTTGTACATTATATTCATGCAATGCACACAGACCAATGTATTTCCAATGTTCATTACATTTAAATTTGATATTCATAAGTGACAACTAATGAAAACTCCAAATTTGGTATCTCAAAAAATTAGAATATTCTGAAAAGGCTGAATATAGAAGACACCTGCTGCCACTCTAATCAGCTGATTTACTCAAAACACCTGCAAAGGCCTTTAAAAGGTCCCTCAGTCTTGTTTTGAAGGCACCACAATCATGGGGAAGACTTCTGACTTAACAGCTGTCCAAAAGACAATCATTGACACCTTGCACAAGGAGGGCAAGACACAAAAGGTGATTGCTAAAGAAGCTGGCTGTTCGCAGAGCTCTGTGTCCAAGCACATTAACAGACAGGCGAAGGGACGGAAAAAATGTGGTAGAAAAAAGTGTACAAGCTCTAGGGATAACCGCACCCTGCAGAGAATTGTGACGACAAACCCATTCAAAAATGTGGGGGAGATCCACAAAGAGTGGACTGCAGCTGGAGTCAGCGCTTCAAGAACCACCACGAGGAGACTCATGAAAGACATGGGATTCAGGTGTCGCATTCCGTGTGTCAAGCCACTCTTGAACAAGAAACAGCGCAAGAAGCGTCTCGCCTGGGCCAAGGACAAAAAGGACTGGACTGATGCTGAGTGGTCCAAAGTTATGTTTTCTGATGAAAGCAAGTTCTGCATTTCCTTTGGAAATCAAGGACCCAGAGTCTGGAGGAAGAGCGGAGAAGCACAGAATCCACGTTGCATGAGGTCCAGTGTAAAGTTTCCACCGTCAGTGATGGTGTGGGGTGCCATGTCATCTGCCGGTGTTGGCCCACTCTGTTTCCTGAGGTCCAGGGTCAATGCAGCCGTCTACCAGGAAGTTTTAGAGCACTTCATGCTTCCTGCTGCTGACCAACTTTATGGGGATGCAGACTTCACCTTTCAACAGGACTTGGCACCTGCACACAGTGCCAAAACCACCAGCACCTGGTTCAAGGACCATGGTATCCCTGTCCTTGATTGGCCAGCAAACTCGCCTGACCTTAACCCCATAGAAAATCTATGGGGTATTGTGAAGCGGAGGATGCAATACGCTAGACCCAACAATGCAGAGGAGCTGAAGACGACTATCAGAGCAACCTGGGCTCTCATAACACCTGAGCAGTGCCACAGACTGATCGAGTCCATGCCACGCCGCATTACTGCAGTTATTGAGGCAAAAGGAGCCCCGACTAAGTATTGAGTGCTATACATGCACATTCTTTTCATGTTCATTCTTTTCAGTTGGCCAACATTAGAGAAACAAACATTTTTTCATTGGCCTTTAGAATATTCTAATTTTCTGAGATACCAGATTTGATGTTTTCATTGGTTGTCACCTATAAATATCAAATTTAAATGTAATGAACATTGGAAATACATTGGTCTGTGTGCATTGCATGAATATAATGTACAAGTTTCACGTTTTGAATGGAATTACTGAAATATTTTCAACCTTTTGATGATATTCTAATTTACTGGCCAGCACCTGTATTTTCTAACAGAGTGAGAGTCCTTTTTAATTTATTTATTTATTGTTTGTTTGTTTTTATTTATTTGTTTAGAGGTTCTGGACATTCCAATGTTAAATAAAAGTTTAATTGTTGCATTTTAAAGCGTGTACTTGCATTATTATGATATTAATATTACGTAAGTGGTTATTTTGGTCTTGATAATGTCGACAATAATATCGTTTATCATCAATAATTTATTGGACAATATATCGTCCAGCAAAATGTATCGTCCCAAGTCTACTCCGTACCGTAAAATTACTAGAGTGCCAACATCAGATATAACAATGTATTTATCTACTTGTTAACTTACTGTGTATGACTCGTCATTGTTAACGTCGTTTGAATATAACGGCGTCACTAACAGCATTCTTTTTTGGGTAACGGAATAATCTAATCAATTACTTTTCCCACTGTTGCAACGCCGTTACCGTTACTGGGGACGGAAGGTTGTGCGTTACTATGTGCTTGTCGAACGTTGAGCAACAGTGTGAGGCTTTCTGACCGCCACACTTCAGCTGCAGCCAGGGAGAGAGAGGTGTCGGTAACGCACTAACAAACATGATGATGATTGGCCGGGTGGGCGGAGACCCTCAGTGTTCTCACTGTCTCAGTCGCTGCCTGCTGTAGACCCAACAGAGCAGTGATGGGAATAATGCCATTTAAAATAACCACGTTAATAAAAAAAAATATTCTTTCTGTAACGAACAAACTAATTAATTACCGTCTTCTTTTAACAAAACGATAGTTTCTGTTACTGATAAGGAAATGCGTGCGTTAAGCAGCGCAGTGTGTTGAAGCTGTCATCAGCTAATGAGGAGCTAAAGAGGCAGATGTTTTCATCCAAGCGCATCTCGGCCCGTGAAGAACGAGGAAGACGTGATGAATTCGTTGCTGCAGCAGCGAATCTGCGGGTCTGCAGCCGTGCCCTTCTTAGCGTGACGTCCCGAAGGTCCGCTCACCTGTTCACCGCTCGGACGTCCTGATCTTCTACCTTCCTAGATCATCCAGCTGTAACCTGTTTCTGATCATGTCTTTAGTCCCGCTGTAACACTGATGCATCAGTCTCACACGTCATGGAGCTCAGGTGTTATCAGAACTACCTGTGTGTGTTTACCACCCAGCTTCAGCTCTTCTGTGGTTGGGTCTGACCCAAGTTAGTAAATGTAAGTCCTCCATCAGGCTTGTGCCTCTTCTAGTATCATTTTAAAGGATTTTATTTATTTATTTAACCGTTACTAGATTACCAGCAACAGAAATGCTACTAAAAACACACAATTATGTGAAGCTGGAAAAATTAGAATACTGTGCAAAATTACATTCATTTCTGTAATTTAACTAGACTGAGAGACCATTTAAAGGCTCGGGAACCTTTACAGGTGTTTCTATTAGCAATTATAAATTTTAGCTGATTGGTTCTTGTTAAATACCACAGTGACCTTTTAATAGTCTAGATTAGTGTAATGTTCCTGTTAGTAGTTCCTCCGGTTAAGTGCTTATTTATTTAAATTATTCAGGTTTATAAAAAACATTTTGACATACATTTTATTATGTTCCAGTCATTAGTCATTTATATTTTACTATTGTAGTAATTCTTGCATGCTTTAATGAAAAAAGTAACTAAGTAGTTATTTTTCTTGGTAATTAGTTACTTTTATAGTCTTGTAACTCAGTTAGTAACGGAGTTACTTTTTTGACAAAGTAATCAGTAACTATAACTAATTACTTTTTTAAAGTAACGTTCTCTACACTGTTAACTAGTAACTGGCAACAGCCATGAAAGTGATGGTAGTGCTCAGGGAAATAAACCTAAATAGACTGCAGTTACCTAATTTGACCACAAGATGTCAGTCTCACAAATTGCACCTTTAAATAGTTTTGATTTAAAGCTTCCATAAAGCTCTAAAACTTGCTCTGTGCAGCCAGCGTAGATCCACAGACAGTTTTCTTTAGTTTACCTGTTACCAAGATCAGAATAGCACTGCCCTCATTTCTAATATTTATAATTCAATGAAGGGAAACGACAAAGAAACAGCCTTTTATCTGCTGTTTGTTGTGGTTGAATTCTGATTAGTTGGACATTACAAACATCGTGTTCTTCATTGGTTCTGCAGTAATGTGTCTCTTTACCTCGCCATCAGAAAGCATTATCATGGCACTGAGAATAGCTTCAAGTCGTTTACTGGGTTGGATCCTCTTTGCAGAGCACAAGGACTTCATCTGTGCTTACCCTGCAGTTTTAAACCACCATGCTAACTGAAGCTAGGAGTTGCACACGCACCTTTTCTGCTTCCTGGGTTTGAGGTGTTGCATTTGAACCTGAACGTTTTCAGGGCTTTCTTGCAGCAAAGGGCACCTCTACCAGTGGGCGAGCCTTCTCCCTACCACTCGTTGTTCTCCTGTTTGGCTTGCAGCGATGGCATTTCTGGCTCTGTGCCCAGCGACTGTCGTCTACCACCCTCCCCCCTCCGTCTCTCACACATCCAACCCCGTCATTTGTACAACTCTCATCTTTATTACTCAAGTGTGGAGCAGCGTGGCTTTTTTTCTTGAATGTGTGTGGCTTCTACACATGTTTGCTCTCCTTTCTCTTCATCTCCTCTTGATTTTCCAATCAATTTTGCGCCGGCTCACATCAGACTCACCTTGATCTGTTCTCCGTCTTCTTTTCCTTCTGCCTTGTTTTTGTCAGCACAGTGAGCGTGTGGTTGAAACCAGGAAACCAGCCTCTAATCCTGTTGTTCTGACATAAGAGTAATGCCACAGCTGAGCTCAGTTCTCTGGCCGTTGCCCTCTTCATATTCACATGAGATTATGTTGCCTATCTACATGTAAACCTGCATTTAAAGACAACAACCCATCAGATCTTATCAACATATATTACTATGGAAAAGCTGCAGAATCAGAGCAGGGCATCCTGCCAGCATCAGTGAGTGTAAGGGATGCAGATGTGTCCTACCTAGGCCCTCTGGCCTGCTCGGGGACCAAATGTTTCTTAAATGGAAATTATTGTGACACTTTGTGTGGCCCTCGGTCCCAGTTCAGGTCTGAGGCAGGCAGCATCTCACTTATTTTCTGATCCGACATGACAAAAGTCACACTGATGCAACAGCAGCTAAATTTAGCATCGCGGCTCCACTACCAGGTTTTAAACTTCCTCTTTCAGAGTAAACAAAAACACGGTTTGTTGTCGTAAGTAGCAGCTTTCTCCTGGAATGGGGCTAAACAAAAGAACACAACTTTCTTTTTTGTTTAGTTTGAAGGATTTGGCCTTGACTGAAAGCAGTGATGCTTGAGCTGAGAGACAGTTTGTTCTACTAACCAATATAGCAGAAACGCACCGGTTCTGTTTTTGTGGGCTGAGACCAGTTTGTGATTGTGCACTGCTCTGACCTGCCAGTACTGATACTGCGTATTTCTGATTTTCATCAAAGAATTATAACAGAATACGTTTTTCACATTTCCAAAGTAACATTACACATTTTATATATTTATAAAGTTTGGTAGCAGAAACAAAAGTTTCACTAATTATAATCTGAGACCTTTTTGACTCCCACCTATTTAATTGTGATATTAAGGATTATTTGAAGAAATGCTGAGATGACTGTAGAAGGTGTTCCCCCTACTTCACACTGGAAGCATCAGCTGTGCTTCTAATTACAATATGTTCTAGTTAGGGATGTACGTTTTCCAAAATCCGGTTATTAGCGCCCCTTAATGCTTAATAGCCGGTTTACCGGAAACCAGCACAATCAGAGTTTTGTAGAGGATTTTAGGATCAAACTTGGCTCCCGGCAGAGAATGCTGCTGTCGTGTCCTTGGGCTAGATACTTATCTCGCCCTGCCTGCTGGTGGTGGTCAGAAGGACCGGTGCCCTATTGATTGATTTTCTTCGTGATGAATACCCCAAACTGCTCGATTCTCTGATTGGTCCTGGTGCTGTCCGATTGCGGGCATCGCCATTTTGAAAGACAACCGTAGATCCCGCCTCATGACCACATTAGTTGATGGCCTGACTATATATTTACACACATAGGATGGCGTGCCAGGCTAAACTCCTCTATGTGAGTAAATATCTACAGTCTTTCAGTCAACACAACAGGCAACGTTTGTTTCAATTATCTGTTTTTGCAAAAGTTACGTTCTCTTCATCCGCTGTCATATTTTTAAGTGACTGTAGCAAATCAAATGTAGAAACTCACAATTCTTGTTACATAGTGTTCCACTACAAGAGACTGCAGTTATGCAAACTGTCGGTGGACATTAACTTAGAGATTCCCTGATTAAGCTAGTAAAGCTGTTTTTGATTACCAGCAGATTGGTTTAGTCTGTGGGTGTGTCTCTAAATTTAAAATCGGTGGACTAGCCAATCTGAAACACAAAAATCTGATTTCCCACCGTAGTCTGTGAATGCACCGTTTCCAGAAATTCTACATTTTTCAGTCTGTGAGCTCACTATTGCTGAGTGCTAATTAATGCTACCAATAACAGATTTTGTGAAGTGGAAGGTCTTACTAACAGACTCAACATGTATTCTGTTCATCATAATTCTTTCAGATTAAATGGTACCAGCAGGTCAGAGCAGTACAATAATCAGAAGTTGGTATCAGACCCAGATATTTGACATTTTTCCTTCAGATGTTTTCCAAAATGTACCTGCAGTATCTGTAATTCTGCCTGTTCTTCATATAAGTGTAGTAAAGATGTGACATGATGTTATGTTGTCTCTACAGCATCCTTGTTGATGCTTAAAATACACCTGAGACTCTGGTCCAATGGAAACCTGTCTGTTAAGATGCATCTGCCCTTTTAATGCCTCCATACAAATGCAAACTTGCACCACACATTCAGAGTGTGCACACACAATTGATCTGGTTTCTGATTTGGTTTCTGTTTGCCACAGAGGACAGGAAACAGAACAGAGCTTGAACTCAATCCCAACATCCCTCGGCTCTTTATTGTCTGGACCACATCTGCACTGAAACATGGAGCGTGTTCTCGGCATCGGCTCTCTTCTTGCTTTCCAAGTTCTACGATTGGACAGAAGTGACTTCAGCTCTGGAACTGAAGGGCGCTGTCTATCTCCACCTCGCTGCTTGCCAGGGCCTCCGGGAGCTCTTGTTGCCAGGCAGTGGCACACGTCGCTGTCGCCTGCAGCAGCACGGTTTTGGCAGGACAACAGGCTAATGGTTTCATGAACATGGCATATTCTGAGGTTCAAAGATTCAAATAAATATGTTTTACTCATCCTTCCTGGGAATTGATCTCAAAAAGGTATTTTTTTTTTTTTTTTTTTTTACTTTTCCAGCAGAAGTGCCTCCAGTAGCTCCATCCTCATGCCTCCCCATAGAAACAACGGTACATTTGTAAGGTGGCTTTGGACTAAAGTGCGTCCCTCTTGGAGCTGCTTTCATTTTCAGGGCTGCTTTCTGAGGGCACGCGATACGTCCTGCACCTTTGTCAATAACTGTGAGACTTTAGTGTGCTCACACATTCATATTTCCTGCTTGGGTGTGTGCTTGAGGCTGAGAGGGTCGTCTCCTGGGACGCCACAATAATAGACCCACAAGCCTTGTTTAATCTTTACCAGGACCTGAACGAACAGCTGAAACACAACAAAACAATTTATTTAACCCCAAAAAAGATAAAAACAAACCTGTGCTCTATTGTTGAGTGGTTGTGTTAACCCCCCCCCCACCCCCCACCACCACCACCACACACACACTGAGGGTTACAAACTCTTACACACACAGAGTTTTATCAAGGAGGAGAAAAAAGCACCATGGAGCTAAGTCACCTTTTCCCACAGGTGCTCAATTGCTGAGGTACTCATCAACTCTGCAGGTGCTAAAGATCAATACTTATCCTCCTTTTGTCATTTTGCATTTCAGTTGTGAAAAGAAATAAAAAAAAACACGAGAAGAAAACCGTTTCATGGAAGAAAAGAAAAGGAAAAAACAAGAAGAGAAGAAAAAGAAGGAAGCTGCACAGAAAAAGGTAAAATTGTAAAGAGTCTTTAGTTTTGGAACGCACCTTTTCCTGTTATTTGTTTGTTTGTTTATTGTGAATATTTCTTCTCGTTAAAGGGGGCAGGAAGTCATTACAGCAGTCATTAGGACATATTATTAGTCTGCAGGATCATGCTAGAGCGTTTTACCTCCACTTGTCTTTAATCTGCAAATGATTGGGTCAGTTTGAATTTAGTAAAACACTAGCAATTTTTTAAAATTATTATTTAAAGTTTTAGAAATAATTTAAATGTTTTTATTATTGAAATATTCAGTTTAATATGATCTAATTTTGTGTTTAAATTTACATTTTTATGGGAATTACCTAAACCTGTCTAATGGTCTCTAATTAAACATTAATGAATTAATGTTATTTTAATATGTTGTTTTTTGGCTTTATTTTACTCATCTGCACACTTTGCATGCATCATTTTTGCAGCTTCATAAGATTTCACACATGCATATTGAGCCAGAACATCAGAAAACAAATCTGAAAATAGGCTTCACTGTGCACGCTTCAATTACTCGGATATTTTTGGTGTTATTGCAAGACATTTACAAAAATCTATATTTCTTTCCTTTTTTTCAGGTCACAGAACAGATAGCCAAAGGTCAGTAGCTTGTTTTTAACTATGATTGTAATTTGTGTATCTGATGTTGTCTTCCTGTATGGGTAAACGTCTCGCTGGGCTTGGTTGTGCAGGCTGAATACCACTCAGCCAGGCTTGCCTGCTGCTATATTTCCATCCAGAAGCAGGCTTACTGTGAGAATGTGAAATTATGCATAGTTCAGGTTTGATGACTATAACTTGAAAAACCTGAGGAGGCTCCGCTTGGTTCCTTGCTGCTGCTGCGTGTGAGTATGAATCATTAGCTTTTGTTGAACTAAAACACTTTTTAGTGGGAAAATTAGCGGCAGCCAGGTGGTCTGGACTACCTGAGCTGAAAGTGGAAGCCAGGTGCCGGTAGAAAACTAATAAGTAGCACAGGGATGCTGCAGCTGCTCCTGAGGCCTCCCTATAGGCTACTCAGGCACACCTAGGAGGGCTGAGGAGGGGAGGACTCACATGAGAGAAGACAAAGAGACAAATAGCCAACAAGCCAAAACTAGTGCAGAGTTGACTGAAAGATGGCTTCTGTAGTACAGAGAGGTGAGCTCGCAGGTCTGCTGCAGCAACCACAGCCAGTCAGCTGGGGAGCAGATTTGTTTGTTGGATCCAACAAGCAGGATGTTGTTTGTTGAGAGGTTTGGACCAGGTAATGAAAACCTCTGGCTTATTGGCAGCAGAGTGCAGGGAGGAGGACGGATGCCCGCATACACGACTGTTTCTGGTTTATGTGCTTTGAGTTTGGCATAAATGTGCCATCTAGTCTCTAGTTATAATGGAGATTATTCTGTTTCTGATCTCAGCTAACTCTTTCTGCTAAATATGGCTTTGATACACAAAATGAGTTTCTCAGTTATCGCTCTGTAACTTTGACCCGGTTTAATGGCAGATTAAATTTCTTCCAGCATGTCTTAAACACGTATCTCCTCTGATCAACACTGTCCAAGAAATGTTGAATTAATTAAAACATTTTCCAGTAATCAGTTGTTGTAAATAGCAAAAAATAAGACATTTTTAGACAGCTTAGTTCAGCTCTAAACAGTTATTATTATTGACAGAAAAATACAAGAAGTTCTAATTTACATTGAGTTATTTATCAATACGCTAAAAGAAGCAGATTGTCTCTAATTAAAGGTACGCTGGGACCTCATTAGACAAACAGGGCAAGTGTGGGGGTGAATAAACATGCATGCATACACAGGAGGTCTGCAGGAACACCTTAAGCATCACAACTACACCAACTCCTGTCTGGTCTAGCCGAGAGGCTCACCCTGGGATCAGAGCGGCAGAAAGTGGGCTGTAAAGAAAAGGAAGGATTCAATTGTTCGGGTTTTACGTGCAGAAAAAGAACGGTGGCAGCTCAGATGCTTCAGGTCGGTTTTAGCTAGCAGGAAAACTGTGTGTGTGTGTGTGTGTGTGCGTGTGTGTGTGTGTGTGTGTGTGTGTGTGTGTGTGTGTGTGTGTGTGTGTGTGTGTGTGTGTGTGTGTGTGTGTGTGTGTGTGTGTGTGTGTGTGTGTGTGTGTGTGTGTGTGTGTGTGTGTGTGTGTGTGTGTGTGTGTGTGAGAGAGACCTAGAGAAACAGATGGAGCCACGAGAAACTGTGAGACTGAACTTCAGTTTCCTGTTTGCCGACACAGCTGAGGGGGCCCCTTTGTGAGTTATTTCTACTGGCCTGTTTCTATTGCACACGTGCACACGCATATTCTCATTCCCTCAGTCCTCTAATGTAACCGTGTAATGCCAGCAGTGTGCTGTTTGTCCTTGCCGTGTCTGTGCAAACACACACATCTCAGCTTCATATACCCGTACTCACAGACCCTCATGACTCACCAGACTTTTCTAAAAGATTTATGAACTTTATAAGCAAACACCTCCTAGTCACACCTGAGAGTAGTGCAGTTGGACCCCATCTAGTGTGTTTAGTTGTCTCTGACCTCCATTGCAGACTAAACAATGAGACCCTGACAGACGAAGGAGGGTCGCTTTTTTACAGAGGATAGCTTGTGTTCTGAAAACAAACCCAACTCAATTACCGGTGGTTTCAGATTTCATTTTTTACACGATACATATAAAAAGTTCTAACAAAACCTGATCATGAACTGCTAAGAATGTTGCTTTTATGAGAAAGCTATGCGCATGTTGGTGACTTATTTAGCTGTTACTGAAGCACAGATGCACTAATTATAGTGCAGTAGCACCAATAGACATTTACACAGCCCTGACCTGCCAATGATTTGTTTCCCTATTTGTTGATTAAAGAGAAAATTATTACTGTCCTGCTGCTGTACAGTTGCTGGGGTCTAGTTTGTGAAAAGGAAGCTTCATTGTTGTCAATATTAAAGATGGATTGACTTGCAGGTCTATTGATTGGTGCAGGCAGTAATGTTGGTTATTATTATGCATTTGTTCGGGTATGGACCGCTGGGAGACGTCATGCTGCCATTTATCAAAATAAAGTTTTATGTTACAGTGGATTGTGTAGAATGGAAACAATGTTTTATTTATACTGATAACTAAATCAGAAAAGACACCTCTGTTGGCTCATATTGGTGGAGCCCTTTGAAATACATATGCAACACATCTCCTTTCATGCCAGGGATTAAACTGATCAAGTTATATTTAGAAATTGAGTTAGTTATTTTGATCTAATGTTAATAAACTTATAATCAATGTCGCCCATTGTTCGAAGAGATGGCACAAACTTTAGGCGCTTACACAATAGCATCGGCTCAGCATGACCCCAAAAGGTATCGAACGGCACCAGAATTTGGTTTCACACACAGGTCTGATTTGTTTTCTGAATGTTTACTATGTGAAGGGCCTTGAGACGACTCTTGTCGTGATTTGGCGCTGTATAAATAAACTTGAATTGAATTTAATAGAGTTTGCGTTTTCGGTGCCGAGACGAGTCTTTTTCTCACACCTTCTCCCCAGCGGTCAGACTGGAACCGAGGCAACACTACGGACTGATTGGCTGGCTGAAATTACGCCTACCGCCTCCGATCTGCGAGGAAATGAGCCAGCGGGGGGGGGGGGGTTCCCGCATGCGCGATTCACTTTCATGCTGGATGCTGAGTAAACTTCTGTCTGTAGCACGGAGCTGCCGTTTCAGAGCTGCTGTTCAGTGTGTGTGTGGCACAAGATTATGAGGACACACAGCAAATTAATAAAATAGAGTGGTTCAGAGGCTCCAAAAGCAACACAGCTCACGTCCACCTTTTGTTTACCTTATGGTAAAGCCACAGTAAAGCCTAATTTATACTTCTCCGTCAGCTCCATGTGGGAGAGACACGCACACACGGAGATACTTCTTTGTCTCCTGGGGAGTGTAGCAAAGCAGTTCCCCGCCAGGACAGCAGAGGGCGTAGCGCTGTTCTGTGGTATCCTGTCATGTATCCAGTCCAAGATGGTGTGTTTATATTGTATTTAATAGACTTTTTAACACGGACAAATTTGTCACCCATCCTCCTCCACCTCTTCATGCGCTCGCCACCTCTAAACCCACGTTTCCCTTTATTTCTGTCCACAAAGAAAATGTTTGCTGCATATTTTGTCCCTCCTGCAGTCACGGGGGATTAAAACGTTCATATTTTTAGAGTTTTTCCGCGAGGTATTCCTCAAGCTTCTCTGTGTCTGCCACTAGATATCGGACGGATAATGGCGTTTCGTGTGTCCGTCCCGACTCGGACGGAGAAGTATAATTAGGCTTAGGATTAGGGCTGGTGATAGACGAGGGAAACATTGATAAGCATCAGCTCGATTTATTCTGAAACACCACGTCTCTAGTTTATTTCTGAATGTGTTTAATTCATAAAGTGTTTTCTCATTTCTCCCAAAGGCAGGGTGCACCATCAAGGCACACATTACGTTTGATGGAACAGATAACAATATAAAGTCGCACATGTAATTTCATGATCAATTAATTTGCCGTTTCACATTGGCTTAATTACACCCAGCGCCTTGTGTTTGAAGACCATTATTTGTGGCACAATCAAAGGAGATTAATACCAGTGGGTCTGTATCACCACTCCCTTCCCTACTTATGTTAGTGCATCTTAAATTAAAACGATTGTAACGGTTATATTTAGCTGCTCTTATACAGAAACAATCCAAAATTACTGAAGTTAAATAGTTTTTGGTACAACCGACAAATGATGTGACATAAGGATCACACACATAGTCGTTGTGGGTCAGCCTTGGTAACCTCTTAGGCTTTTATTATACTTTCTGGAGCTGACAATTAACTGAGCTGCAATGCAGAAAGAAATGGTTGCAAAGGTCAAAAGTCTGCTTTTACAGAAAATAAATGACATATTTTATCTTCTGTAAAAATAAGGACTAAGACACAAATGGAGACTACAGTGAACTAAAGTAACAGTGAGTAGTTTCCTCCTTCTCCCCCTACTGGCTAAAAGTGGAATAACAACTTTCATAAACTACCCTGCTGTAGCTTGTGCTAACAACGAGCTAACACCAGCACGATCCATCTAATACTAAAATAAACTAAAAAGTAAAAAGATTCGCACTGTTGGACAAACAATAATATTCCTTACAAGTTCAGTAGGAACAAAGCCAGGTCACCATCAGCTAGTGATTTCGTGGCCTCCTTCAGCTACCTCAAACTATGGGCTGCTCTAATTTTCTCTGGTTTTGGTTCTTTGCTTTGCCTCCAAAGACATTACTCTCTTACTTTTACTTCCAGGCTTTACCATGATGCCAACAGAAAAAATAAACTTATTTTTTTTTCTTCTTCTTGTGCTTTTTAATAACAAGGGGCGAACTGAAAATGCTAACCACTAGCATTACAGCTAACAGTCATAAAGCAGGTAAAGAGCGCACCTTAGAACACCTGCCCACTCCACAAAACTATCAAGTGTGGTTTTGGGTAATCAAAGTGGAGTCAAATATAAAACAAGTCAAGTTTCTATCCCAACAATCACTGAGATCAATGTTAAAACTCTAGCTTGAAGTAGGGCCGGACGATATATTGATATTTAAATAT